CTCTCTGTCTATTAACTTATCAATTAATTTGGCTATATATTAAGCTATTCTAGCTATCCAATATAAGCCTGCAATATAAACGGAGCAACTCGCAGAAAAACACCCTTTCGAGACTTTTTACAAGATTGAGATCAAATCAATCTATTACTATTACTACTACGGTGAAAAAGAGGACAGCGTGTAACAATGTTTTCGTTTGATGTTTTATGACGATCTTTTTTATTATGATGGTCCGACTGGATGGACCGCGCGGTCTGGTCTTAGGTATCAACGACTGTTAAATTTTTTTATCATAAAGCATTTATTTCAATTTGATTTGTTAAAAATATCATAGTTCAATTCAAATTATTAATTAATATATTTCAAAAAGAGTATATAAAACAGTTTTACATATATATTAATTCAAAATTCATTATGAATAACGAACAGTTGGTTTCTATTCGCAATACAAATTCATTAAATCATTTTATTCGTTTTATTCGTTCCATTGGTTCCATTCGTTTGTTCCATTCCATTCGTTTAGTTTATTCGTTATGTTCGTTTTATTTGAATATAAACCCTAATGCTAAGTCTAGGCCACGGTCTGGACCTTTAACAACCCTGTTCGTCAGTGTAGGAAATTGAGTGCGGGATCGTGTTACATTAAAGGAAGCCAATAATCTTGGGCCAATTTGTTTATTTCTTCCTCTTCCTTTTCTATTTTTACTACCAATCAAAGTCAATCAATAATTTAAGTCAAATTCTCAAAGATATAAACAAATTGAACTTTAATTATAATTTTAATTCATCACCATTAATAATATTAATTTTTAAAAAAATTTATTTTAGAAAACAAGATTAAAGCTTTGAACGGTCTGGGCGAACCCGAAACCCGAAAACTTTTGGACTGTATCAATTATACTTGAGGTCAAAATTATTGAATTGCAATTAAAAATTGCATTGCACCATCTATCATAATTTTATACAACTGACGTAAGATGCAATTCGTGATGCACATAACGAAAGCATGTTTCATGGTAGTTTATTAGCTAACGAAACCTTTTTGGCTATAAAACATTGATGCTACATTAAAATTAAAAAGTTTCATGTAATAAATAAAGAGTTTTATGAAAGTTTGAATTAATACACACTTCACGAATTGTGTATTGTGTAATGATGGTGGCCGAAATTATTTTAGCAAATCCGAAATCGTTTCGCTCACAGAAATTAGGAATTTAGGCACCTAAACTAGCAACGAAACTTAAAATTGCCTAAACTATGGCGAAACTCTTTAAACTGTGGTTAAATTGTCAAACCTACGAGCAAAGTTTTTATTATTATATTGTGATAAAACGGATTTGTCCAATCATATATCGGACATGTGACTATATAATATATCATTTTTATTTGAATACTTGGAACATCATTCATTATTCTTTTCTTTACTGAAAATTTTTTTTTAGCAAATAATTAATTGATTTCTTTCAATCAAATAAAACATTTTTTGTGGTGAAGAGCCAAATCAAGAAAGATATAATAATAAGAAAATTTTTTGGTCTCAAAGATTTCCGATAAAAATTTCCCAAACCGGGCATTTTTGATTACACAATTCACACACCCCGCCTGATACTTATTGTTGTTGATTCTTTGTATAGAAAATTCAACAACAAATGGAAAAAGAAGTTCAAGATACGACTATTTTAGAAAATTTAGAATTGATTACCTCGTTAGAAGAAAGTTTTCATGAAGAAGCAACAGCAGTAATACCAACAACCAAAAATTATAATCAAAATGATAATAGATTTAAATTAGACTTACAAACTATGTATTCACATTATAAATCTAGATCTAGATCTACTACTGCTAATACTATTACTACTCCTAGTAGAAAACAATCCAGTAGTGCTAAATTATATATGCCTATAAGTAAAGAATCATATATGGCACGACTTAAAACTTTCACAATATCCTTTTCTTTTTTTTATTTATTACAAATAAAACAATTTTAGGAAGGTTAAATATTTATTCTTTAACGCATTATATCGATCTTTATATACGAAATAAATTGGTTTGACAAACCAAAGTTATTAAGTCCTATTGAATGTGCAAGATATGGATGGATTAATGTTGGTGAAGATTGGCTTGAATGTGAATATTGTGGAGAAAAAATGTTGGTAAAAATACCATTATATCCTGATTTAGGTAAGGTGTTATTAACCTTAAAGAGAAATATCTACAAAAATAGATAAAATATAATCGTTTATTTTATTTGAATAAAAGAGAACCATTTGGAAAAACAATATTATGAAGCTCTTACTACAGCACATTCAACCTTTTGTCCATGGCGTGAAATACCATGTGAAGGTGTGTGTGAAAAATTATTAATATCATTGTTATTTATAAAATTTAATATATATTAATTTAAAAGTTTTCTTAAAAAAATAGAATCTATTTATAAATTTCCTATTCTTTCAAGTGAAGAAACAATAAAAGAATTTCAAAAGAGAATAATAAATTTAATAAAACTTGGCGAAAAAATTCCAAAAATCAAGGCCAACATAGTAAGACTTGCATACATACATAGATAATCATAAATAAAGATATTTATATACAATAAACTTATATACGATATTAACTTACAAACTATAATTATAATAATTAGAATAAGAATGATGATGAAGAATTTACCAAATCCATGGATTTGATTATTCCAGCAGAAGCAAAAGGAATTGATAGCATGGTTTTGAAGTCAGCAATATATTTATCATTATTTGGATGGAAATATATTAGTAAATATGGAATTGATGAGTTGTTATGTGATGTGTGTTTTAGAGAATGTTCAGTAAATGATTATAAAAAAAGTACAAAACAACAAGAACAAGAACAAGAACAACAGGAAGGAGATAAAGAAAAGGAGGGGGGGGATAAAGAAAATTCAAAAGAGCACCATTACAATAATGATGATGATGATGTAGCAGAAGAAATCCTTGCTTGCAAAAACGAAGAAGAAATTTGGGATCTGTTACAAATTAAAAATAATCAAGTATTTAATTGCGAAGGTGAACATTATTGGTATTGTTTATGGATTGCCAATGGTAAACAAAAATTAGTAAAAGAGGGAGGAGATAATAATGATCATGCAAAACAATTTGAATTTTTTCAACCAGGTTGGAGCACAACATTTTCAACTATTATAGAATATATTAGATCAATCAACAACGACAACAACGACAGTAACAACAACAACAACAGTGATAACCTTGGTGGCGATGATCATAATAATGTTGATAATGCTGATAATGTTGATAGTGCTGATAATGTTGACAATTTTGATAATGTTGACAATAATAATGTTGAAATTGGCAATAATTCTGATGTTATTGAGAATGATAATGAAAATATTGACACTGTTGATGATAATGTTGATAATAATGTTGATAATAATGTTGATAATAATGTTGACGGTAATCTTAATGAGTAGAAACTAGATGAAAATCTCTTTTTGCTTTTAATAGTTTTAATTAAGATAATTATGGAAAATAAGGAATTGACATAAATTTTTTTTAATTAATTGGGAGATTGGGAGATTGATTAATTGATCAGCTGATAAAGATTAACATTATTAACAAATTTATATGAAAAGAGGAAAAGGTTACGAGTAATGAAACATCAAATGCTGTCAACTGAATGTGGATAAGTCATTATTAATTATCATGCAATATAATAAATTTTGGTTACATTAGTGATTTCTGATCATGCGTGTATGTGTGTAATGGATAATATCGAGAATACCAAATAAAAGATGTAAATATTTACACACTATTTTATTGCAAAATAAAAATTCAAAATAAAATTATTAATTAATTTTCTTCTTTTAATCTTTTAATGAATATTCTTATTTTTTGAGCCATTATTATTATGTTATTTGTCATATATAGATTTTGCCAAATTCTCTCATATTAATATGGAAAAAATAAAAATAGTTTTGTCACCACAACCTTAATTTGTTGCAAATCGTTTTTTTTTTTTGTCAAGGAAAAAAGACTCCTTTCTCCTTTCTCCTTTCATATAAATACAAATCTAAATAAATTATAATGATACCTTGTCTTTTCTTTATGAACAAATACGTTGACTTGAAACACAAACAAAAAGGACTGTACGCATGTATAACATGCATAATAAATAAATATTAATAGATTTGCAAAAAAACAAAGATCTAAGTGAATTACTACTATGTTTTCTGTTTGCAAATTTTACCCTAGAATATTTAATATTTACTTAACATATGAAAATTAATGTTTATTTACCCTCGAATAATTATATCGCTCTTGTTAAAGTTAATATTGGTGAACCGTGTTTATATGCAGGATTACATAGGACAAGTTACCCCGCATATTTGAATAATGCACGAGCTAACTTTATCCACAAAAATTAAAAAAATTTATTACTTTTTTAATCCTGAATAAATTAAATTTAGAAACTGGGAATGACAATGACTCTTAATGATAAATAATGGATTTGAAAGTTGTAATCCAAATCAAGAAAAGACGAAAATAAAATTTGTAATTTTTCTTTGTTATGTGAATTTCTTTCTATATTAGAAATAAAAACAATCCTATTCTCTTAATATGGTAAATAGTAATAATAATAATGTGATAAAATTTTAATTGGTCAGTATTAACTACCATTATATTATTTTTGAAATAGGGTTTATTTATTTCTATCGGTTATGATAGTTTTACAGCCGCAAAAAATCAACCATTGATTTGGTTTTATTTAATTAAATGATCAACATGGAAAAACTTTTAATCTTTTATATAAATATAATTCATGTAATTCATAACATGTTCGTTAAATAAAATAAAAAAATTTAGGTTTTAGCATTTCTGCTATTTGCAAAAAGGAAAAAAAATTTAGAATTTAACTTAAAAATAGAATCGTTTTAAAACCTACATTGATTCATACACACGTCCACCACACACACACTCATATCCATTCATTATTTAATCACAAAGAAAAAAATGGGAAAAAAATTTTGGAAACGATTTTTTACTAATTTTCATAGTAATTATAGCGAGGATGGTAATAGTATTGGACATAAAAAAACTAAAAGCGATATCAGTGATATGAGCGAGGATTCAATAGGCAAAGAAGCCAAAGAATTATTTAAGAAAATCAATGATCGAAAGTTCATAAACCAAGATGATGCTAAAGAAATCTTGCCGGTAGATGATGACGAAACTGATAGAATAAATTTGGTGCATTTCTTCAAGAAAGAATTGTGGCCGCAAAGTAAAGCATCTTTTTCTTCTCCGGTTAAAGAAATATTAAGATCCGGTGCTGAAATACTTGATGCTGGGTAAGTAACTGACATCATTTACATGACTCAAAATACTGAACAAACTTTGATTTAAATTATCAATGTCACCAAAGGTGACATTGATAATTCAAACTCAGAATTTGCCTAGTAACTATTACTTATTTATTAATATTATCAAGCAAGGTTTGAATATTTCAGAATAAAGCTCTAAAGGATTGTGGTGGTAGTGATGGTAATGATGGTGGTAGTGGCAATAATTATAATGCCATGGATATAAGTTGTGACTCAAAATACTGAACAAACTTTGATTTAAATTATCAATGTCACCAAAGGTGACATTGATAATTCAAACTCAGAATTTGCCTAGTAACTATTACTTATTTATTAATATTATCAAGCAAGGTTTGAATATTTCAGAATAAAGCTCTAAAGGATTGTGGTGGTAGTGATGGTAATGATGGTGGTAGTGGCAATAATCATAATTCCATGGATACAAGTTGGTAATAAAAAAAATAAAATTATTATTATAAATATATTTTGTTAATATTTAACTTATTCCAAATGATCTGATAATTAAATCCATTAAATTGAATAATAATATACCAAATACAAATAATTTTTATTTTCTAAAAATAAATAATTAATAATAATAATAATAAAAATTTGATTGTGTAATGGTCATTCAACCTTTGGAACCTTTGGAAAAAGAAATAAATATATTAATAAATAATTAATAATAATAAAAATATGATTGCGTAACTGTCAGATCATCAGATCATTCAACCTTTGCAACCTTTGGAAAAAGAAATAAATATATTAATATAATCACACATATCTTTTAATAATAGAAGTAACATCAGTGCTTGTAATCTTGAAATAATTGTCATCTTCTGGTCAATTGATATGATTTTAACTCAAAATTTTACATGTTATTTATTTACATTAATATATA